GAGAAAGAGAGGGATGTTTCAGAAGTTATGTTTTTGATCATTTGGCAACTTAGTGCACATAAACTATCATGGTCTTCCTTCTAACTTAAATGTTATTAGCATTGACAAAAGACTGTAATTCTTTTATAGATACATGAGGCTAATTGGCTAATTTGTCCACCTAGAAGTTGTAATTTTTTTTTAAGACTAAGTGAAACACAATAGCTGTAGCAAAAAGCAAAAATTATTTTTTTTCTTAGGTAAAAGCAGAGGTGACCTAAAGATGGTATAAATAGCCCCAGAAATCCTGATGTTTAAATAAGATAGTGCATCTCATTTTCTCCATCTTGCAGTCATGTTCTGTGCCGATTGTCCCGTAATTGTCCATCTGATGCAGGCACTCGCATGTGGAGAGAGAACTTCTGTCTGCCCACAGGACACTTTAAAACCCCTAGACCTTGCAGTACTTTCTATTTTCTTTGCTCTTTAAATACAGACTAGGCATGTACACACTGACTCTGAAACCAGAGTTTTGACTCATAGAGAGTGTAAATTTAATCTGGCCTCAGTGGAAATAATGAGTGTTCGCTGAAAGCTACGCCCACCATCTGGGGTTGAAACAAGCTGTAACACCACTGGCACTGGGACAATTATGTAAAGAGTTTAAGTTTGTGTACATGGTGGTGGATGTGTAGGTGGCATTACCCATGGTCTTCAGAGGCCCAGTTGTACTTCCATCGAATTTAGCTGAGGCTTTTTCTCTGCTGTAGTGGGAGGGAAGATTTAGCTCTTGTTTAGCTACGAGCTTAAAGTCCTGTTTTTTTCAGTAAGTACGTGTAATATGTTTACTCAGTCCAACTTCTTGATTCTAGAATAAAACATGTAACTATCACTATGATGTTATTTAAAGAAAAAATATCTGCAGAGGTTTCTTATGAGCTTCAAGTACAACTGAACACTTAATAATAGGAAACAAAGGTATCTAACCATTAAAATGGGTTATTTGGGGTCTAACAGTTTAAAAACTTGCAAGAGCAAAATCCCAGACACTCTCTTCATGCAACTCTCAGTGGAACACTTTGCAATATCACTTTAAATTCTTAAGTTGCCCACATTTTGTGAATTCTCAAAGAGATTTTTCAAAAGCAAGTAAGCTGTGTTTACTGCACAGCTACCAATTGTGTTTTAATACTGGTTTGTGTTTCAAATGCCCATTTAAAAACATCACTGACCATCTTTCATTATGTTGTGTATTAGTATTGCCTTTAAAATTGTTGACAAATCTGTTTTCTCATGATAATCAGTAACTTCTAAAGCACAAGCTATAGCATCTAATATATAATTCACTTTAGTGGAGGCAGTTATGTTAATTGCAAAATCCATCAGAATACACTGACTCTAAAAATAAGACTGTATGTGGAAGTCCATATTTAGCAAATTAAGGTTATTAATCAGATCCTGTTCCTTGCGTATCATTCATCCACGTTAAGCATTTTTCAGCACCTTTGTCAGCGAGCGGCAAGAGCAGGCAGCTCCACAGGGGAAGGCAAGCAAGAGGTGAGGGTTACAACCATGCAGGCAGGGGCAATGTCCTCACTGACAAAGTCTTAAGTGACCAGGAAGGTCCAAGGTCAAGCCAGGAAGGTCAGGGCAGTATTGGTAAGGTGCAGGACTGATTAGAGGCTTGCCTAACAGTGGAGCTCAAGGCTGGGCCAGGGGAAGTAGGTGGGCTTAAGTGCAGCTCCTGGGAAAAGGGGACCTCAGTGGAGACCCTGAAAGGGCTGCTCAGGGCAGTTACAGCACCTTGGTGTACTGAGAGCCCTGACCAGAACCCTGGGAGGGTAGATAAATAGAGAAATAAACAGAGAAATAGAGAAGCTTTTAGTTGGAGAACCTTGCTGCAGATTGCACTTCTGTATGAAGCTTTAAAGACACTGACAACTCATACAAACTATGGGATTAGAAAACCAGACACTGTTGTTCTCTGAGGGCAAATGCTGAGGGCCCATGGCTCTGCTTTGGGAGACTGACAGCCTCCCCAGATGCTCAAGGTGAGGCTACTGGAGACATGCAGTTACTTCACTTGTGTTTTGGTGCAGAGAAGGAATGACACCAGTGAAAGATGGGAGTATCCATATTTCAGATCTTATTGCTCTGAAAGTCAGAAGACCAAAACCTCATTTTGTTGTGTCTTTAAATATTCTGGCTGAAAATGAGAGTGATTTTCACATTCTTTTTGCTTTCCGGTGTGCTAGTGAATTTTGTTGCAGGCAAGCCAAAGAATATGATCAAAAGAGTGTGAACTGGTGAACTCAAATTCCTAAGCTGCTGCTAGTTTCTCATGTGACTACAAGTAGCTCTTAAATAGATCCTCAAACATGCACTTCTATAATAATGATGTAATTGTTAGCACACAGCGATGGCAGTAAATTGAGTCAAAGAGTAGGAATGTCCTTCAGGACTATTTTCTTCTATGCTAGTGGATATGTTGAATTTCCTAGATAACTAAATCTTTCTTGAGCATGGTCTGTCTTATTCACACTGGCACACAGAAACATTTCTGACATAAGAAATCCAAGCCACAGGTATTGTAACCTTTAGAGTCCTGAAGGGGATGGGATCTGAATAATCCAGAGGAAAAGGGTCTGAGGGAGGATCATGATTTTTTGAGTCTTGGCTAAGATATGCTCATGATGGAAAACAAACATTTTTATATGGACTATTTGCTATGGAGTTGGAGCCAAAAGGGTCTTTAGAAGAACCCTGCAGGGAAGATACTGCAGTACAGTCACACAGTGAAAATGAGGGTTTTCTTAGATACAGTACTAGATTAATAGTGTGGCAAACTGATTCCTCTCTCCCGCTCCTGCTGATCTGGTGGTGGTTTTGCCAGTGTTGAGAACTCTGTGATTGGAAGATGCTTTTTTGTTAAAACCCTATTCTGACAGAAAAAGGGACAGTCAGCCACTTCTGCAGCAATTTTTGTTGGAGGTAAGGGGAGGTGCTAATCTCAAAATATACCCACAATGAGACTCAAGGAAGTGTTAAGCTAACTAAAGCTGTCTATACAGGGACCATGCAAATGGGGTTTACAAGGGGTTAAGCAAGTGTAGAGAATAGGGAGTTTGTTTTGTTTCTCTTCAGATGGTAGTAGACTGGTTGGACTACACAAAATTTGATCCCTGAAATTCTTAAAACTGTCTACACATTTCTATTAAATATGTATTGTATTGCTAATATTTTCAAGGCTTTTAGGGATTTTTTTTTCTCAATATTGTCTTACCACTGTACTGATTGTGTACACAGCCTAGGTACAAAGAGTCTAGAATTCATCCCTCATCTTTTTGTGTGACATTTCAGCATGCACAACAATGCATTAGTGTAAGTGTATACTAATGTTAAAATGCATGGAAACTGAGGCTATAGAAACTGTTTGCCTGCTATACTTGGTTTGTGACCTGGATTTAGGTCTGTATTTGTAGATTTTGTAGACACAAATTGGTTTGGAACCAGAAAGGATATGGGAGCGTAGGGAATAGAGAAAGAGGCCATGGCTTCTTACAGGGGTGGTAAGTGAAAAACTATGAAAGAAAATAGACCAAATAACACACACAAAATAAGGAAAAAATAGTCAAATACTGCATTAAAGTATAACTTCATTCTACATCAAGTAACACCTGTAACTGCAGCTGGAGTGCTGGTCATCAGTTCCACTGAAATAGCATCCACCAGGGAGGGTTTGCATGCATTTGCAGGTGACTCGTCAGAAATGAATGTTTCCATGGAGTTGTAAAATATAGTTGATCTGATTACCTTTAAAATCAAAGCGAAATACAAGACGAGCACTTCCTTCTTCCTAGTGACTGCAAGAGTTAGGTTCTTAGGCGAAGTTATTCCCCTTTGCTCCTGTAGTGGACAAGCTGGCAGTCAGGAAGCAGGAACATTACTGACCACAACCAGTAAATATGGACTCTTTTGGGGGATCATAGAGACCACAGATAAGCTTTTCTTACCTACACTGATCAAAAGATTCCTTTATCTCACACATGAGAAGGTGCTCTGAAGTAATGAAGTGGGTAAATATTGCACAATAAGGAATTATGCTGCACTTGTCTTACTGGTGGGGAAGCTGTACAATATTCAGGTTGATGTGAAGTATTTGTTGCTAAATAAAGTCTGTTGGAAATGTACTTCATTCAAGTGTAATGGGGTGCATAAAGAATTCAGGATCAAGCAATGTGATGCAAACCTCTGTGCTGTTTAAGTAGCCTTAAGTTTCATTTTCATCACTGCGTCCTTTCAGTATTTAGCTGTCAGTATTCCATTTTATTAGTTAAGATTCTGCTCTGACTGAATGAGGTGGAGGCAGAATTCCTCTGCTGAAGGACTTTAGATCTAAGAAACAAATGAAAGAATATTTTTTTGCATTATATGTAATACATAATATGCTTTTTTCATTTTTTAGTCTCACATTATTTTCTGTTTTAAATAGTGGTTATAACACACTATATTGTACAAGACTTGAATTTTATCTGGAATTAATTTTTAGTTAAAATCTTCTTAGGTTGAAATGTGATTTCTAAATATAAAGTAAAAATTAATATAATGATGTATATATGTTCTTAAAAACCTATTTGACTAATATAGCACCAGCTTCTAATAAAACTATTATGCATTATGAGTTATACACATACAGTTTAAAAATATTTTTGCCATTTTTTTCTTTAATATTCTTGTTGCCTGGCCATTAAACAGCCTTGCCCCAAGTATCTCATGCATTTTGTATATGATGTCTGTTGCATAAAACAGATTTTATAATTATTTAATGAATCTCTATATCTGACCCATCATTTTAGTTACAATACTGGTAGCATTGATCCCATATTTAAAGCTTTTTAGAATAGAAGGAGAAATCAAAATGAAAAAAACCTACCAGTAAAATAGAGATGAAGCCTCTTGATTTATGGTCTGCTTTGTTTGTGAGATAGTAGCAAGTTCTGTGTTATTTTATTCTGTTCCAGCTGTTTACCTCTGCAAGCGGACAATGCAAAACAAAGCAAGGCTAGAGCTAGCAGACTATGAAGCTGTAAGTACCTGGGGAAACATAAATTTCTCTTCTGGGCCTAATAAGCATGTGAAATAATGTTAAGCATGAGAACTATAGGCATTATCTGTGAAAATGTATTAGTTATCCACTTTTGTCAGCATGTGGGTCTGCCAGTGCTCAGTAGCTATTAATGCTGTTTGAGAGACTGTAGTGAGGTCTAGCTAGGCAAAAGTGGAGATTTTGATTTATTTCTAATCTTAATTTGCTCAGATCACTAGGCCAGGATCAGAAATAACCGTTCACAAATCCCAGATACACTACGAGTGTTTGAGAGCAATTATACTCTACACCGTGTAAGGTTTGAATGAAGGATCTCTGGCAGCATTTTCAAAAGCACTTGGTAGCTGTAGAAATACAAATCTCATTCTTAAAAGTGATGCTGAGGCTTGAGCCCTTGTCCTGTTGGTTAGACAGAGATAGTGTCAGACTAGAAGCACTTCCCACTCCTTGAAAGTTGTGCTGTGCCTCAGGCAAGGTAAGATAATTGGGGCGAGGAAGAGCTGGGAAAAGAGGGAGTTTGATTAGCTGATGAGGATGGCACTCACTAAGGAGAGCGATGTCTTGAATTCCATCCTTATTCCCTCAAAAGTTCTTGAATATTTCATGAAAATGTCAACATAAAATTCATTAACAGCCCTGGCTCTGAGCTGAAAGCTGTCCAGCTGGGTTACCGTGACATGATGGCAGGATAGTCAGCCAGGCCTCTCAACATGCCAGCCACAGCACCATGCTGATACACTTTATTGCTTCTTCTGGCATAAGCTTGCTTTTCAGTGTACTGCACTGTGGGATACGCATAATTTCATACTTACATGCCTTAGAAAATTCACCTCCAGTATACAATCCACGAGAGCCTTTACTGGTATTGACAAGATCTCTAGAAAGTCTCCTCTTCACTCTCTGCAGTCTTTATTTTCAGTAAGTATGTCATAGAGATACATTTGTAAGGCATAGAAAAACAGTTAAAGCAATACTTTTTGTTAGGAAGTTTGCAGACAATTTTTCACATATTCTCAGTGAAAGCGGTGCACAAAGGTAACTGAGGAAGGTTAAGAACCTCAGCCTTCTTCATGTTAGTAGACTGCATACTGCTGCCGTTTAAGCTAGGGGGAGATTGGAAAAGCTGTGTGACAGACAGTGAAGCTATTCCAGCATCACTGGAGGAAATAATTTTGCTAAGTTTTTGCAAATATTCTTCTTGCTGTTATTATTGGTAGGCTGTAGCATACATATATTTCCTGTACAATAGTGAAGAACTATAGTCTGCATTTAAAAAAAAAAAAGGATAGCTGTGGAGATCTTGGAAGATTCCTGAACTACCAAAATATTGGTAGCTTCTTGTTATTGTATTTTAAATAAATTGGTAGTCAGACAGCATTGTTCAGTGCAAACCATTTGTATAGATGATTGATGGAAATTGTTGTGTGGATCATCTGGTATGGAAAGTACTACTGTTGTCTTTCCGTATTAGGTACTTTCAAAACAAGATTTTTTTCTTTGTATTCTTACAAAATTACTCAGCCAGCACCCAATATCTAAAAATGCTTCAGAAATCCCATGTTCTGCTGAAGGTTGCATCCACTCTTGTCATCAGAGTTCGAAACTAAAATAGCTGGGACATGCAAAAGTACATAGATCTAGTATTCCATCTCCTTTTGTGTTAAGCAAAGACTTTATTGGATAAGGAAGGTACATTTACAGTGGCAGAGACACCATGACTTGTATTACATCTTGTGGGGGGCAAGGGTAGGAGGAAAAGGTAAGCTAAAAGCTATTAAGTAGTGAATAACTTACAACCTAACCCACTAAAATTGTGGTGTATTTTCAGGAGAGTTTGGCCAGGCTACAACGAGCATTTGCTCGGAAATGGGAGTTTATTTTTATGCAAGCTGAAGCACAAGCAAAGTAAGTTCCTTTGAAGATGGGGAATTTTGGTTTTGCGTGCTATTTGAAGGGAGAAGGGGAGGGAAAAGTGATGGGACACTTCTTATGTTTAAAATAACTGTCATTAATACTGTTTCTTTTAAATATCCTATAACATTGACAGAGTGGATAAGAAGAGAGACAAGATAGAGAGGAAGATTCTTGACAGCCAGGAGCGAGCGTTCTGGGACGTGCACCGGCCAGTGGTGAGTGCTGGTGGGGCCACTCTGCTTGTGAGTGGGACCACTGATAAATAGCAGCTGCTGTGGAGCGCTGGAGTAGCCTGGAAACAAGTAAGAGGACTGTAGGACCAGAGGTTGGGGCCTGCCTCCCTTTTTTGCAAGATTTATAGTTTTTATCATTCTACTATGAAAGACTGCAGGTGTGTGTACGCTGTTTGGGATTTTCAGTTAATAGATTTGTTGTGTCTGATTTCTTGAATCAGAAGATATCTGTCTTTGACTATTACCATCTCAAAGGTTTCCCAAGGTATGATTCACACAACCAAAATTATTAGCACAGCAAAAATTCCTTTAAATAAGTCTGACTTATTTTTTTAATCTTTCTTTTGCTCACTAAGCCTTTCAACTTCATTCTGGTCATATTTCAAGGCTATTTTTAATGTACATAAAGATTAGATATTCTTGACTTTTAGCTGTAGGAGTCATACACTGTCTAAACAAGATTTGTCTGAGTTCCTTGTCAAAGTCCATCTGAAACAATTTTTTTTTTTTTAAAAAGGGTCTTACATATTCAACTACATTTGAGAGCAAAAACTTTGAGAAAGAATGTCAAATGGCACAAGGCTTCCAATTAAACCATGAGAACTCAGTAATCACAATTTTTTGCTTTACTACAAAATTATATCTGTTTTTCTTACCTAGAGTTAAGGTAGCTGTGTGTGCAGATTTCGGTATCATTTGTATACAGACCATATCTTCCACTGTGACACTGGAAAAGATACTTAACTAAAACAAATCGTTTTGGGGAAGTATGGTTAGGTGATGATAACTGTAGAAGAGGTGAATACAGTGAGAAAGCGTCAAATTAAAAATAATTAACTTGAACATAGTCAGCTTGCATTTGTGACTGTAGAATTGAAAGAGCAATAGAAGAAATTGATTTTTAGGTAGGATTTAGAATGTCAGATAGAAAAAATAATTTGAAGTCAAAGATTCAAACCACAGGCATTAGATGCAGAAAGACAGACATTATTGTCTAATCACTGGCATAAAATAATGAAGGAGGACAGAAAACAATCTGCCATCTGATGTTGATGGGAGCTACAAATAGAATAGACATAGAAGGCTTCTATGGACCTCAGAACTTTGAACATGCAGACAGTTTTTATATTAGCTGCAGAAATGGATCTAAGGGTTTTGAACCTAGAAATGAGATGCTATTTCCAGGTTTGGAAGAGAATATGAATTGTTGAAGTTTCGAGTTAAGATATAGACAGACAATAAAGAGAGAATTAAAGGGACCAGGACAAGAGGAAGTTGAATCTGATTAAGAGCTTTGGCTGAACTGTGGATAAATCTGCCCAGTCCAGCAGATGTTTTTAATCTCGCCGTAGACGTACCTAGGAAATATCAGAGGCAAAAGATTGGCTTGCAGTCAGCTATGTAGCTCCTGACTCTAAGAGATATAAATAGAATGGAGAGGTTCATACTTTGGCTAACCAGCTCCTCTCACTAGTTAGTGAAATACTCGTTTTGAAAACATTGTAATGAATTTACTGTCACAGTAAAAAACAGAAGCTTCTATTAAGAAGAATAAAAAACAAAAAAGAAACAGACTGAAAAGATAAAGGTGATGCTAGAGCTAATTAGAATTTCTAATGGATTTTCAGGCACCCCAAAAGCCCACCAAAAACTCACAGAAATATTGCTGCAACTCTGGGGAGCTAATTTTGGAAAATTAAGTAATGTTTAGATAAGAATCTGGGGTTAACGCTTATTTTTATTTATAGTTTTTCAACTTTTAATAAAGATTTAGAGGCTAAGTGCAGTGACATATTGTTCAAAATCCACCCTAATTTATTTTTTTTTACTGAATTTTGAGGACTAAATTTATTTTTTTTTTTTTTTTTTTTTTGTGAGTAATATTTTCCAGGTTTTTCTAGTTGCTTTATTTCTTACCTACCTGGATGCAGTGCTGATACAGAACCTTTACATATGGAATATAATCTATGAATACTAAATCTGCATTTTATTTTTAAAAAAGAGATACTTTATAGAAATGAAAGGGATAGAAGAGGGAAGCAAGCCATCAGTCCAAAAGGACAGTGCAGCAGTGCACTACAGGAATGAGAGACATGAAAAAAGTACAGCTATATGACAATGAAACCAGGAGAGTGCAGCTGCAGGAAAAGAGCGTAATTTGAGTATCAGAAATTTCATTGTGACTGACAAGTTTAAAATAAAGGAAATGAATCAAAGTCTGATGTGTAAAAGCCCATTTGCCTCAAAAAGCACCTTTATTGCATAGGTCCCAAGTCAAAGTCAATCCTGCAGGTGGTTGCAGAGGGCTCAAGAAGATTTATGCCATAGTCTGAGAGACAGACAAGTGTTTGAAAGTCATCATGGCTGTTACTTCTGATCAGATACTGGCTAGTGCCCCAAATTTTTCCCTAGGATTGCAGACTGAGATGATACTGGGAGATGAACAAGAGAAAGAGGATTTGGAGAGGAGTTTTTTCAAATAGTCACCTGTTCTTGAGTTTTCTTTTGAGAGGCAGTTAAGAGAACAGCTTTGGTATCTCACTGATTAGTCTCCATTCCAATATTTATTTAATTGCAGCTTCCCTATCTATTTTATTTTTTATTTTGCTGTGTATTTTAGTGTAATGGGCCATATAATCTTGGTCACTTTTGTAAATTTCAGTAGCTGCTTTATGTAGAAAGATCTTAGCTTGCAGCTAGAAAGAGTATGACTGAGCTTCAGCTGTAGGTACTGCAGCCTGCTGAGATATTCCTGAACAACTTTTAATCTTACTAGTTGAGATACAAATCACAGTAAAATAATGGAAATGTGTGTCAGGGAGAGCTGTATAAAATCCCTTGAGATCCTGAGCAGCAGACCTAGGATAAAGTCCATACTATTATTTCTAAGGTATAGCCAGTACGTAACATAGGTCTGAGATTAATATTATTCACACATAGTGGCGCATCTCTCTTTTTGATGGTAAACATATCTTAAAGGCCTTCCTTTTCTTTTCATCAGTCTAGAAAGGGTATCATTTTCATAACTTTGAAACTAACTTGAAATTGGTTAGAAGGATCAGGGCATTAGTGAAGCTGCTCTTGCTTGAAAAGAAATGTCATGCTTCTGACTAAAGTCTTTATAAAATAACTCATGGCTTTCCTGAATTATTGTCTCTGTTTAAACTCCATCATGTTACACATGTGAAAAAGGGACAAACAGATATTAAAACAGTAAATCCCCTGGAACATTCTCAAATTCACATCAAATGCAGTAGGAGCAGAGTACCTGCAGCTTGCTGTAAAATTTAACTTTTTAGGTAGCAAGCAAGGACAGCTGATTTCTTGCTCTTACAAAAGATTCACTTTTCTTCCTGAGTTACATATTAATGTAATTTAAATGAAATGCATAATAAAGGCCTGTTGGGTACTTGTTGAGATTCAGATTAATTCAGAAGATAATGGGGGAAGTATCCTTTCTCCTGAAAGTCATCTCTATGCTTCTGTCTACATTTAGCCTGTATCTGGGGCTAAACAATCGCCAGCTGTTCTGTTACCCAATGACCCCTCCCCACTTGAGGAGGGGAATCAGGAAAAGGAAGGAAGACCTGTAGTTTGAGGTAAGAACTATTTAATAATTGAAATAAAATAAAATGTAAAATAATAATGGTAACAATATCTGCAGAGAAGTGATATACAGTGCAATTGCTCACCATCCTTTGACCAATGTCCAGCCTGTTCCCAGCTAGTTATCTCAGAGCAGAAAAGTTCCAAAACCACCAATCCTGGAAGAGAGAGAGTAGGCCTCAGGAGCAGAATCAGGAGTGGGACCCTCCAGGGACATCGACCACAGAGGAGAAGAAAGATTAGAGTGTGAGAGCGAGCCCATCCCCCACAAACTCCCCTTTATAGTGAGGATGCCATTACACGGTATGGAATACCTCTTTGCCAGTGTAGATGTCAATCACTGTGGCCATGCTCTCCCCCAGGTTCCTGGACATCTGGGTTGTTAGCAAAAAAACAACTCGAAAGGCCCTTGAGCACTGTAGGTACCTGCAAACCATGGCCAGCTACAAACTAAAGCAAAGTGTCTTATCAACTTTGTTCTCACCAAATTGAGTGCTGCAGTCTTCTTAAAAACGCAGCTTACTTTGGAAATGTAGCTTCTCTGAACAGACAGTTGATTCTGTGATTTTATCCAAGTGAAACCAGGACAACTTCTTAACTATAATAAGTTGAAAAAAAACTTAGTATTTTCTCCAAAAATCAAACCGGTATTTGTGTGATTTAATACAGTAAGACAAGTCATCCAGGCTGGGTATGTCTGGTAAGGATAGCAGCAACGTTAAAGGCAAGTGTGGGTTCAAGATAGTTCGCTGATGATGTAAAATTCAGAAATATGTACAATTTCTGGATTTGAGGGTTTCATGCCATTGTTTTCTTGTAGCAAACTAGGGAAAAAGTAATCTTTCAATTTTTTAAGCCTTGTCACACATCCCACACCTTTTGCTTCTCTATCTAGGTTTTTTTTTATTAAATTCTATCTCCATTAATCTAATTTTACCTGTTTATATTTTAAAGTTGTATTTTATGTGGTCTGAACAAGACCTTCAGCATCTGAGCCTGCAGGTAATATTACTGGGTGTCTAGGGTCATGCAGCGGATACTTGCAGTTATTTCTTCTGAGTTTTCTTTTCTTTCATTGCTTTTGTTTTTAATGACTTTTCCATCCTATCCTTCAAGATCAGCTTCAAAGACTCAGGAAAAGACTGAGTTTATCTTGGCTAAGGTGGCACAATCTTTCATTTCACACTTTGCGTGCTACAAATCCTAGGCTTTTCTGGGCCAGTCACTTGTTTAGCCAAAGAACACTTCTGTCTACTTTATCATAATATTTTCAGAAAGTTTTTAAACATCTCCAGGAAACGAACTTGAATCACGCCATCCAACTTCTCTAGTGACGTATCCTCATACAATTTTCATGTCTTCTTTCGCACCTGCTT